AGAATTTGATCGTTTAGGCGATTGTTTTTGTACTTGTGCTCTTATAAATTGGTCGGTTCTGTTACAGATAAGAGCACAAGTACAAAAACAATCACCGAAATGATCAAATTCTCGCACTTGAGCCCATATAAACCCGGTAGTCAACTGAAACCACGAAGGATTTCAAACCAACTTGCATACAACCAAGATCACAGTAATTCAACATAACATCTCACACATTACAGCATTTCATAAACAGTTTGCAGATAGATTACAACCCATCAGAGTCATTGTTATTACAAACCAAGTCTTGTAAAGTAGCGAAAGCAAATAGTTTAACTCACACACATGAGTTCAAATACCAGTACCAGTTTGCCGATCACATCCAACAAAAGCATTCAGATGAGATAACAAGAGATCATGCCCATGATCTAGTCTTAAATCACCCGCCGGGTGGAGACAATACTTACGTAAGCCCCGATACGTAAGGTCATCTACAACAAGAGGAATAAACCCCAGTAACGGAATGTACTCAGCTAGACTTACCCCGTCGAAAACCAAAATAAATGACACCAAGGATCATGCAAAGCTTTATTTAGAGGATCAGGCTGACACTTCCTTTTTGTGGAAAAGCATAAGTAATAATGATTAACTTTTAACCTGAGCTAGCAGTGACTTTAAGCCATTAACCTATCATCTATATTAGCACCTGTACTAAGCAACCACTTGATTAATATGCAAACATTAATAACCATAACAGGTATAAATCGTGGCAACATTATCCATCATCATCATCTTCCATTTAACCATATCGTTGAATTAAGTGAATCTACGTTGCCACTGCTCAAGTCAAGTTCTCACTATCCGGGAGAGACGGCGATTCGAATCGATTCCTATCCAGCTGGAGGGGTATTCCTAACACAAACCTTGCTTCCCCCGTTAGGGTGTCAAACAAGTCACCTTTGGTACAACTCAGGAGAAAAATAAAAGAAAAGACGCGGGTCTAGGCCGCCCTGCATTCTCAGAGAACCACTCTGCCAGGAAGTGCTGGATTTTAAGCCCTGACTCTCCTTGGACTTATGCCAATGGCTCTCTACACATCCTTACTACCTCCAGAATGCATCCAATCCCCACGGTTCCCGGCCTGAGTTGAGCTACTCGGCTTCGCGGTCGGAACGACTTATCCGGCCAGCTAAGTGTTAGGCTGCGTTCAACATGACCTAAGGACGTACAGCGTATCGGTCCTTAAACGACACAGACGGAGTCACTATGTCCAACCCTACACAAGACTCCGTCCGGTCTTCATTCATTATTAACATGGTTCTTTTTCATGATAGCAAATATAGCCAACCGTGATACACCTCATCCTAAAGCTCGCAGGTGACAGGAAATCACCCGACTTCTACCGCACTAAGCATGGCTAAGCATTTAACCCATTCCTAAACTTAAATAGGATTCAAGTGCGATATCTGGACAAGGATATATATATATAATGCAGCAATTGGTTCCAACCAATTCATATACTTAATGCAGCATCAACAATAAAAGATACTCAATATATTTGTAAAGACATGGGAGACTTATAATGCTCTGGGACTTGCCTTTCAGGAAAGAGGATGGACGGTGGTCAGGGCACTCGGGCAACTCCTCAGCGGCTGCTTCTTCGATTGCCTGAACCTCGGGCTCCTCCTCCTGGCTCGCTCCCTCGAACTCTAGAAGCGTCACTCCCTCCGGCACACCTATTGCATGAATGCGCAAGATAAATATCATGGATGCACATGAACAAAGTTAGGGATGCTCGGGGAATGCACATGCTTACTGCAGTCCGCATATTCCAACTTAAGCTCTATTCAAATCACTTTAACTTACCAAGTTTATACAACCTAATGTATAATTGCTCATCTTCAGTTAAAGACCTAGCACCTGCACCTAAGCATGTTCTCAAGTTAGGCTAGCATCTAAACAATCAATAAGAACATTGCAACAAAGCATACACACAAACACTCATGTTTCAGCAAAACAGGGACTATACAACGGTACAGTAAACTGACCATAACTGGAGATTTACAAATCCAAATGGCATGAAACAAGACAATTTGGAAAGCTTATGAAATTGCCTACAATTCATTTTCATACCTCAAGGCATGATTCGAACTTTTACCAGGTCAAATTCTTTAATCAACAGAAATCTGTCTTTCCAAGACAGAGAGCAAGCAAAACTGTGATCCAACTTTAAACGACTGTAACTCCTAAACTAATAGGTCAAATACCACCAAATTTTAACAGGAGCTAGATACATAAGTTCTCTACAACTTTTGTATTCACCAATTTCCCAGCAAACCAAATTATCATGGGGAACTTTGCAAAGTCCCCAGAACTGTCCAGAAGGACATAATGCACGCAAAATAATTATTAACTTATGTTGCAAACACATAAATGGACAAAACCAACTTTACTACCTCATCACACATATCACAAGAACACCATAAAGTAAGGTGTTCATCACCAATTCATTTCTTTTAATACCTTTCTTAATTTAATTCATTATTTAAGAGGAATAATAAACCTATATGAAAACTGCACCATTAAATCTACAAAAATTACAGTAGGTACTACATGCACCAAGTAGGATACTATAAAAATTTCACATCATTTGAAGAAGTATAACAGCCTACACAAAAATAACAAGGCAGAAAGGCTGAAAATAGCATAAATAGGAAACCCTAGTGAAAAGTGTCAAACAACAGATTTTATATTTTTTTAGCATCCTTAAGGTACTAGGACATTCTCCAATAAATTTCATGGTCATTGGATTCATAGATAAATTACTAAAATTCACACAAGGATCATTCAATGATAAAAGGAAAATCTATAACTCAAAAACCCTACATGCAATGACTCTCAAATTTTTACCAAAGCTTCTACTCATCAAGAATAGCTCACCATCCAAATTTCTTAATTTTTGGAGCACAGGAACTCAAGATATAATTTAAACAAGTTTGCATGCATTTAAAAACACATTTCTAGTTTCAATTTAATTCTTCCAGATACTCTAAAATAAGTGCTCATATTATATTTTTCCTAAATACTACACTTCACTATGATCCTAACAAAATTGGAACCACTCAATTTGGATCTACCAAACTCTAGATATGGATTTTACAAAACAGCCTCAAAATCAGCATAAATGAGCTATCCTATTTTCTAACAGTCACTGGCAAGCGGGGCCCTCGGGTCAGATGACCCCACCGGTCAGCGACAGGAAACAGGGGACACGGCTGCAATGGCGTGGAAAACGGCGTAGCTTGCCGACGACGGCTTCACCGGCGACGAGGAGGGTACCTCCGTGCTTGCCATGATCTCCCGCATTGATTGACCTACTAACCCTAAGCTCTAGTGGCCCCTAAGTACCCCGGCCATGAAGCTCGGCGGCTCGGCCATGGCGCATGGCGGCGCGCGGCCATGTTCCGGCCTGGCTGGTCCGGCAATGCGGTAGCGTCATCACCAGAGCACCTACTTGCGATGGCAAAGGCCAGGCGAGGGCTAGGGAAGGACGAGAGGGCCTATGCTGTGCTAGCCACGGTGAGCTCCAACTCCGGCGAGGTACGGCGGCGGCGGAAACTAAAATGTGGCCACTACCTTGGGTTCTCCGGCTCAACGGTGAGGTGGACGAGCTAGAGGAAGCTACGGCGGATCTGTGGGTTAACTAGAGGCGACAATTTCGCGGTGGCGAGCGAGCTAGGCAACGGCGCTTGCTCGGCGTCAAAGGCAAAGCCGGCGTGCTGCTGCTGCTGCGAGCGGAGGAGGCGAAGGAGAACGGGAAACTGAAATGTGAGCGCGGTGGAGTCACATGCGCGCGCTGCGGCTTCAATTGATGCGCTCTGGCCCGACGTGGCCTGGCCGATCAGGCCGGCGGCGACGCACGGCGCCACGCGGCCGTCAAATTCTGAACCTGTCGAAACACTGTAGCACCGATTCAGTTAACCTATCAAGCCTGACAGCGTACCTTCATCGAGTTGCAACTCCTCAACCGTGATGATCCAGCTCATGGTGTAATTGACAAAGTTCTAGATCCAAGTGAGTACTACAAGTTTGCCAATTGGAGTACGAGCTAAATCGGCTTGATTTGGGAGCTACAAGGCTAACAAGTTGGGTACAGAAAACTGAAACTCGATTTTATGACTTAGAATATTTCAGAGTCTCCAAATGACCCTCAAAACTGACTTGTGGGCCATTTTAGAGCATGTTGTGCACATTTTCTGACTTGGCTCCTAAACAAAGTTTGTTCCTTATAAAATTTTCTACAACTTTGCTTTAGGTTGCTTAGACATGCAAACACTCTAAGCTATACTTTTTAAACAGTCAAACCCAGGAGCTCTAGGGATCCATAATAGTCAAACCATGACTTGGAAAACTAATTAGGCAAAATGATCAACATGAACATTGTTCCTAATGACATTCTAAGTATAACTAAGTTGCTTAAGAGGATAATTAGCCACACCACACATTGGTCACACCAAAATCAAGCATCACATGGGTTGAAACAAGGAAGAACAAATGAATTGCTACTTTTTTTCAAGGCCATGTTTTATATGTTTCATGAATTTGTTGCATAGTACTAACTAACCATGTTTCACTAAAGTGAGTTACACATGTTGCACTTGAGTGTTGCACACTATTCATTTCATAAAACAAACACACATGGAATATAAACATATGTTGTAATGTTTCAAAAGCATGTTTCATACAATCTAAGCTCATGAATGGATGAATGATGCTCATGTTTATGAAATGCAAGTGCAAATGTGGAAGCCAAACACCTGGGGTGTTACAGCCCTCCCCCTTATAAAAATCTCGTCCCGAGATTTGATAAGCGTACCATTGTTGATAGAATTCCTTATAACCTTCCCTAAAATAATCTTCTCTTTCCCAAGTTGCATCGCGTTCACTACCCTGATTACTCCACATGACCTTGTAAAACTTGACCACCCGACTCCGAGTCACTCGCTCACGAGTGTCAATTACTCAGACCGTGCCATTTTCTCATAGCGAGAGCCTTTCTTCGCATTTTCTTCTTGCCATATTGAAATCTTTTTTATCGACAGGTCCTGTAACTTTGAAACATACTGAGATGAATCTGACGGGGAGGAAGAGGCTGATTTCTTAGCTTCTCTTTTAGCTGCATCCCTCCCCATAGGCCTCTTGCTCCCTGAGTACTGAGAAGACGGTGTCTTCGGGTCATGATCGATGTTGGGAATGTGATCAGCTATTGCATCGTCGTCTCCAGGTTGTGCCCCTCTGATGTTGAGCTCCATCCACTTAGGCTCGTCCTTCAGCAAATCCCAGCAATGCATGTAAAAAAACGGGTATGGTTCGATGTCTACAAAGTTAGCTAGAGCTAAAGAGGTTTGCAAAAAGGGTACACAATGTTAGAATTATGAAGCAAACTGTAGTTGAAACCAAATACCAATAACAGATTGTCTCCCTCACCTTATCTGCATCACTCATCCCGCTCGGATTGTCTTGAAAAACATTTGCCATGTGCCCTGCAAATTTACTCGCTTCAGCCTTGATAGTTTCCCAACGACTCTGCAGCGATCTGAAACTTCTCTCAGGAAAGGAACCCCTCTTTTTATTGTACTGGCTTGTAATTCTAGCCCAGAACCCCTCCTTCTTCTGCCCTGTGTTTATAATTGGGTCACAGCTAATTTCCAACCATGACTTCACAAGGAACACATCTTCTTTTGGGGAGAAGTTGGATAACTTGCTGCGACTAGGTACGACCTTGCGTCGTCGACCAGCTACCACCGATGCTCCTTCCCCATCACCCTGACTCTTTTTCATTACTGCTTGTTCAACACTCTCGACCGTTGCAGCGACAGGCTGATTTTGAGCATGGGGTGCATGAGATGATGCTGGAGTTGGGAGTGGCATGAACCCTTGGTTCAGAGCTGCGGTCCACCCTCCCTGGAAAAATGGGTACTGCTGAGCAAATGGTTGCAACCGTGGGTTCCACCCTCCATAGAAGCCTAGAATTGGAAGACTCCGGCCGAAACCGGTAATGTCGTCACTAGCTTCATCACAATTATTATGATTCATTCTGCAATAACAGAAGAACATCCGAATTCTTTAAGCAGCAGGTGTGCTGGTCCTAGCATTTCTAAATTTGCATAGCATCTTTGCTCCCTTTATCTTAATGAATGGTAGAACTCTTGCTCTATTTTAAAACATGAAGAAAAGACTGTAAGATTCTAAATCTATAAGCATATCATGGAATAATTTCATACAAATAAATGTTACAAGCAGGAGGAACAAAATCAATCAAAGCTTCTGATGTTTTAGATAACTAGAAGAAGAATAACTAGAATTGATGGCAAACCGTTTAAAATTCGACTTGGGATTAGAACTCCCATGGGATGAAATATCTAAATTACCGATTTGCTGCTCATCAGAACATGGCCAATTTAATTCTCCAAGAATCCGAACTCCCCAGTTCTGAGGCTGAATACATGGAGAAAGTATCACATAGGCGTGCCGGGGGTGAGCAAGGCGGCAGTGCTGGAGGCCGAGCGCCGAGGCGGTGCCGGGGGTGAGCGCGGGGGCGGGCCGGGGGGCGAGCGCGGCGGCTCACAGCGGGGACGGCGGGCCTACCGCGGTGGGGCCACTACGGCGGGTCGCAACGGCCACGGCGGGCGAGCGCCTCCAGATCTAGAGACTGAACAGACTGTAGGGATAGGGATTACCTTCTCCATCGATGGCGAATGGGCGACCGCGCTATAGAGCTCTCCTCCGAGTCCGTCCGCGCCCGCCTCAACTCTCTTCGCCGCCGACGACAGGGTGAGTGACGCTTCCTGGCCCCCTTCGCTGACCCGCCCCTGCACTCTCCGGCGGGCACTGCCTCCTTCCCTCCGTCCCTAATTCCCTCGGATTTGAGGGAGACCGCCGGCTTCCCCAGGATGCCATCGGGGAGGACGTGGACACTTCGCAGGGCTGCCGCGAGAGGAGCGGTTGCTGCGGTGGATAGGATAGCGGTGGAGAGGACGGATGCTGGGTTTGCAGATTCCCTGTAGCGAACGGAAGGATTGGGGTGTAGATAGAGTTGTGCGGTGCGAGAGTCTGGAATGTATATTTGCAGTTCAGGGCGGTTTGGAGCTGTGTGGTGCAGACAGCCTTATTACTGTGTGCGCAGGATCTAGTGGCTCAGCGCGCGCACTCGCCTTGGCCGTCCGATGCGCGCGGGGAAGAAGGTCGCCGTCAGATTCGCGTTCGCGTCCACCCGTGCACACTGTCTTCTTCCTCGCCGTGGCCAGGCGGTCGGAGAGCACCAGAGATGGCAGAGTGGCGGAGCTCGCGCCGCCGTAGGCCACGCCCGCGCCGCCGAGGCCGCAACACCACCGGAGACAGAGAAGATGCTGCCCACTCCGGCAACTGCACCACCGTCGCCCGACCGATGCTAGGGTTCCGGCGGTCGCGCCCCACCCTTCTTCCCCAACTCCGGCGGGGTATAGAAGGGTCAGCCGGGGGGAGGCAGGTAGGCCAGGCGGTGGGGAAGGTCGACGGGCGGTTTAGGGGAGTGGTCATGGTCGTGGCGACCGTGCAGGTCGAGGGGGGGCGCCATGGCCGGAGTTCGTCGGAGTTCGCCATGGCAGCATGCGGGAGGGGGTGGGAGGGAGGGGGAGGGGAAGGAGGAGGTCGCCACCGGCGGTAGGCGCCGGGGCGGTGGTGGAGGCGGGGGCGAGGTTGGGTCACCGGATCTGGAGGAGGCCGAGGTCGCGTCGCCATCGCCGTCGCCGGAGCTGTTCGGGACTGTGGGGTGAAGAGGCGGCGTGGGAGGCAGAAGAAGGGCGCGGGAGGAAGAAGGAGAAAGCGTGCAGGCGGTGTGGTGTGTGGGTGCGCGTGCTGCCTCTAGTACTGTCCATAGAATTTTTCTGTCTATATTTGAAACTGTCACGTCATCACGTTTCATCAAAGATTATTAGCCGGACGGGCTCGCATGGAGGACATCCGCTTGGTGGCAGCCCTGGCTGCTCCTGGCCAGGAGGCCAAACACTGCTCTTGTGCGGGAGGGCAGCAGCGGCCCCTCGGCTCCGGGGCTAGCTGCTACTGCTAGCCCCTGGCCGCTCGGCGCCCGCCTTTCGTTCACTACATGGTACGAAAAGTTAAGATCCCAAGGCGTCAAGAGGAAATGGAGCACCTGTGACGTAACAACGCGTGCAGGAGGTGCTATACTGCTATCAATACTGAAACAAAGATGTTAATACATACTCAAAAATTGCAAAGACCAAAGAGTACATTAATTACCGCGTGCTCCTAGGAACGTCCCTTCGTTTCCATCTCGGAATAATTGTGTGAAACGTTGCTCGGTCCCGCGCCGTTAGACCGAGTCGCGCGCATTTTCTTTTCTTCTCCCGTCGCATGCAGCCAGCAGCCGCGCGCGTTTTTCTTCCGAGCCCGTGGTCCTTCCAGATTCCATGCATGTAGCCGCGCGCATTTTTTCAGCTGCTGGCGCCTGCGCGTATATGAAAAATATTTTGGCTAGTGGCGCCACTAATCGCTCGTTTGTGCTCCTATAAATAGGCAATGCTTATGCACGGCTGACAGGACATTCCTTTCTCTATTCTTCCTACTTCGTTTGAACACCATGCTTGGTTTAGATTAGATTTGAATGCCTACCAACTAGGATGAGATTGAGGAATTTGAGGGAGACGTACATGATTTGAGCTATGATTATGTTTGGGACTCGAGCAACGAAGGTAACACATGCAAGGAAAGGGAGAGAGAGAGAGAGAGAGGGGAGGTGGTAGTCACGAGAGATGCATGCAAGTACTACTCGGGTGCATATGTTCTGGGCTGACGGCCTAGCCGCCAAGAGTAACGGCGCTGTTCCAACGGAAGACGAGTGATACCATATCCAGCAGTAATACGCACGCGGAGCGACGGCGCATGCAGAGCCGAGGAGTCCAGCGCCTTGTTTCCTGGGACAATTAAAAAAAAGTAGTTACGCCTTGTTTCCTGAGACGGAGGGAGTACACACGGACACACGTGAATCGTAAGCACGCATGGACTACAGTTGGTATCTTGATCAGGCGACATTGTATACTTTATCACCTCATTAATCAATCAAACCACGCGTTAAGTGCTATCCAATCAAGTAGCTATTTCTCAAGGACGGTAATTCACCATACAAGAGGCGACCATGCAACATGTATAATAAAATGGACTGAATGAATTCGTTGAAGCACATCATTGTGATCTTGAACTCTGAATCCAACAAAATGATTAGTGACATCAGGACAAAGGTTACTACGAGCCTGCGAAAACATCATGAACTCTGACAAGTTAATGAACTGACATATAAGGCTACATAACAAAATTCATTATCTGATGGATATCATCGTACACATTTTCGTGTTGTGAGGATACACAATTTTGCTGAAAGAATACAATGGCGTAACGGTCAGGCCTAGATCCTATCAAGCTAATCCAATCAATTAATCACCATACATTCTTTTCTTTTCTTTTGAACTTATCACCATACATTCTTATGTTACACGAGACCCTCATTTGGGGTCGACAGCCACTCACTGCACCAATCATCCAAGACACTGCTCTCAAAAACGGCATACCCAATTGCCCTTGCAGTCGCCATGATGGGGGAGGATTGATCTCGCCCTATGAGCAAGATCTGAGTTGAATTCTCTTGCCTCCACCCTTGTATATCTGCTACAAACTCTTCAATACAGGTGAAAACACTTTACAGAGCTTGTAAACTTAAGCCATACAAAAACTAGCTTGCAGTGTGCCAAATGTGTCATGAGTCATGTGAGCCTTGGACTATCAGATTTATGCGCTTGCCGCTATCCATGCGGAGGACATCATTTTTCAGGCCCAACTGGAAAGGAAGATCCGATGAATTGATTGGCAAACATTTTAGAGTAAAACAATCGATCAATGAAATCAATTGGTATGATCGTGTACCTCCACCTGATTGGTATCGACAGAAAACCATCTCAAAAGAACCCCGAGGTGGACCACTGCTGGGATCATTTTGAATAGCAAAGGGGTTGTCACCTGCAGAGGTACACACAAGAGTCAGTTACCATATTGATTTCATGAAACACAGGGTCATCAGATGAGCAGCATGCCAGGATGAAGCAAAGACAAAAGGCAAGACAAGGGATTATGGTCTCAATATATTTTAGTGAACGCCACTAAGATGGGTGCTATTCACAAATTGTCAATTAGACATGTGAAATTATTTCAACATGCCCCTTAGTTTCTTTTATGGTTGTTCAGCCATTTTGTGACCCCCCGACCCATGTAACAAGTGAGATGGCTGATAAGCCCTTGTGGATCAGTTTGGCTCGTTCATGTTGCTTGGACCAGGTTGATGTGCTTGTAACCATCCATTAAGGTTTGTAATAGTTGGGTTTATAGAGTTATCAATTCTGAAGCCAACTGTGTTAGGACTGGTGTTTTTTTCATCACTTGCTCTTCTGCACCATTTGGCTCAGAACCAAACACTAACGAATTGATTGGCAGACAAGGCTTATTTCTGTGTTAGGACTGGTGTTTTTTTCATCACTTGCTCTTCTGCACCATTTGGCTCAGAACCAAACACTAACGAATTGATTGGCAGACAAGGCTACAAACTATATAATTTTTTTAGGATATAAACATATTAAAACCAGAAATAAGAACTATAATTGGAATTTCATCACATAGGATTCCATCAACTTCGTGGAATTTCTAGTGCCAAAGTATAATGTTCTTGCCTAAAGTGACAAAAGAAATTGTCATTCCTGAGGTAATTTCCTCTTGCCTAACTACATGAAATTGACTCTTTAGCATAGTATTTTACACACAAATAAAAAAACTCTCTTGAATGGAAATTTCATTACAAATAGAAAAAAAACTAATCTCATTTGCACTGAAATTTTGAATGGTAATTCTTATCTAGATAAAATGAATAGCTTAAAAGGAATGGAGGCAAATACCAAACTAAGTGCAGTGGTTCCAAGAAGCAGCAGGTATAGCTTGCCCTGTAAAAACCAAATACAAGCTATCAGATGTCACAAATACAAAATAAATTGAAAAAAGTAGTACTAGGGATTTTGGGCAACTAAAAAGGGGAACTAGTACCAATAGACTGCACTGGGAAGTATAATAGGTAGTTAATACTGATACAGCATCAAAAGATTTGCATGCTTTGCTAGACATGCTGAAGTTAAACTTTGCCATCTGAAGTTAATTTATATACATCAGTGCTTACAAGAATAACAAGGCAGCATCACTGAAAGAATTATGCATTTACATGTACTTTATGCTGAAGGATAACAAGGTCCCCATAGCTTTAAGTTGTAAGCACAGTACATGTAATATTGGGTTGGCTACCAGAGAAGCTAGGGCTACAAAATTACAAATGGATAACCATGTTTCTTGCCTGTGGCATAACACAAAAAATGGAACACAATATCAAGAAAATAACCTCGATGAGATGGATACTTGAAGCACGGCTTAGGAGAACAAAAGCAAACTCTCCTATTTGTGCAAGAGACATGCCGACCTATGGGGGAAAAAACACGGTTAATGTGATTTTATGAGCAGTGGCAGATGTGAGTGCATTCAGAAAGATATGAATAAAGACTTACAAGAAGAGATGTTTTGTTGCTATACCCAAATCCTTTTACGACAATAGCAACAATAAAGGTCTTTACGGTGATCACCAAAATTACCGCTGCAAGGAGTATATCCACATGGTTCCACAAGAAATGGACATTAATTAGCATCCCAATGCTGGCAAGGAAAAGAGCAGCGAAAAAGTTGCGGATAGGTTCGATCTGCAGAAAGAACAAACCTGAAATAAGAGAACAAATATAATGAATTACTAACTACAAGAGTCTAGCTATGAATTTTGCTCAAGCATAAAATAAAGATCAAACTAAAGACTTCCTCCATTCCAAATTATAGATCACATTAGAAATGTCATAAGTCAAACTTCTCTAACTTTGACAAGGTTTATAGAAAAATGCTCCAACATCAAATTGATTTCATTTCATTAAATTATCCATGAAATGTGTCTTGTGCATTTATTTGAACTTGTATATGTTAATATATTTTTAATATTTGGTCAAAGTCAAAGATGTTTTAGAACAAAGCTAAAGTGACCTATAATTTGAACCAGAGGGGCTAGAGATAGTAATTCCCCCTTTTTTCTGGAAAGGGAACAGAAAGAACGTGCAAGTTACAGGTAATAAATTACTTGTTCAAGAGTATGTTGTGCAAGGTCTGTTGTTGATATCATTACTCCAGCTGCAAATGAACCCAACTCGAGACTCAAGCCCAACTTATCACTACACTGCATCATAGAAGGATGGACACATGAGAATAACAAGAAATTTAAGAACTGCATACCTTTAACAAATACAGTTTTGATTATAAAGTAAAGAAATGACAAAGATGTATGTGAGTAAACCGACAAGGCAACCAAAAAAAAAGGAACTGAGTTGAAGCTAACTAGTGCACAACAGTATAATTAGCAATTTTATTAAATCATATAATTAAACCTACTTGACATTTATAGGATGGCTAGGGTTCGTGAGAGAAAGACAAGGGACTTCAACCAAGTGCATTAAGGATGAAAGGGAGCATCTCTTAGTGAAGGAGGATGAGATCCGACATCGATGGTAAGAGTATTTTGACAAATTGTTCAATGGTGAGAATACGGACACAACCTTTCAGTTGGATGACTCTTTTGATGACACCAATAGGCGCTTTGTGCGGAGAATCCAAGAATCTGAGGTCAGAGAGGCGTTGAAAAGGATGAAAGGAGGTAAGACGATGGGACCAAATGGTATCCCAATCGAGGTGTGGAGATGCCTCAAGGACATAGCTATAGTATGGCTAACCAAGCTGTTCAACCATATTTTTCGATCGAACAAGATGCCTGACGAGTGGAGGAGAAGTATATTGGTACCGATCTACAATAATAAAGAGGATATTCAAAGTTGTACTAATTACCGGGGAATTAAGTTGATGAGCCATACTATGAAGCTATGGGAGAGAGTTATCGAGCATCGCTTGAGAGCAATAACGCGGGTCTCTATGAACCAATTTGGTTTCATGCCCGGAAGGTCAGCCACGGAAGTCATTTTCTTAATAAGACAAGTTATGGAGCGGTATAGGGAGAAGAAGAAGGACCTACACATAGTTTTTATTGACTTGGAGAAGGCTTATGATAAAATACTAAGGAATGTTATGTGGTGGCTTTGGACAAACATAAAGTCCCAACGAAGTACGTCGGGCTCATTAAGGACATGTACAACAATGTTGTGACTAGTGTTCGAACAAGTGATGGAGACACGGATGACTTCCCAATTAGGATAGGACTACATCAAGGGTCAGCTTTGAGCCCTTATTTGTTTGCCTTAGTGATAGATGAGGTCACAAGGGACATACAAGGGGAAATCCCTTGGTGTATGCTTTTCGCGGACGATGTAGTGCTAGTTGATGAAAGCCGGACATGAGTGAATCAGAAACTAGAGTTATGGCGGGAGACTTTGAAGTCCAAAGGTTTTAAACTAAGTAGAACTAAAACTGAGTATATGAGATGTGACTTTGGCACTACTACTCGGGAGGAGGAAGATATTAGTTTGGAAGGTCAAGTAGTGCCTAGGAAGGATACCTTTCGATATTTAGGATCACTGCTACAGAGAGACAGGGATATTGATGAAGATGTTAGCCATAAAATCAAAGCAGGGTGGATGAAGTGGCGTAAAGCATCTGATGTCCTATGTGACAAAAGGGTACCATAGAAGCTTAAAGGCAAGTTTTATAAAACGGCGATTAGACCTGCTATGTTGTATGGTGCAGAATGTTGGACTACGAAAAGACGACACGTTCAACAGATAAGTGTCACGGAAATACGTATGTTGCGTTGGATTTGCGGTCATACAAGAAGGGATCGAGTTCGCAACGATGATATACGTGATAGATTAGGGGTAGCACCAATTGAAGAAAAGCTTGTCCAACACCGGTTGAGATGGTTTGGACATGTCCAACGGAGACCTCCAAAGGCAACGGTGCGTAATGGAATCCTAAGCCAGGATAATAACGTGAAGAGAGGCAGAGGAAGACCGAAGTTGACTTGGGTAGAGGCAATAAAAGGAGACTTGAAAGGATGGAATATATCCAAAGACTTAGCCTTAGATAGGAGTGCTTGGAAAACAGCTATTCACGTGCCTGAACCTTGATTGCTTCTGCTGGGTTTCAACTCTAGCCTACCCTAACTTGTTTGGGACTTAAAGGCTTTGTTGTTGTTATTGTTGTATATAATTAAACCTACTTGTATGGGTACCAATCAGACGACTAATCATATTAGTCATTGATTAGGTCCAATTAGTTAGGTAATCATGCTGTACAAATCTACTAAGTCATCCTAGCACTTGAGCAGTAACAACAAGAGCAGGACTTGACTGGCAAAGGAAGAGGAGCAAGACTTCCCAATGCTGTGCACTACTCTTGCCACCACTCCGTGCCCGGCATGCACAACTCCTTGTCCAGCCAGTGCGAGCGGGCCTCCAGTTGCTCGCATTGCAGCCACATCAACTCCCGCGCCAGTGCCTCCCAGTCCCTCCACAGATGCTCGAACTCACTCTCAGGGTCGCCGCAGGCCCTCACCAAAAACACACCCAGCGAGGCATGAGGACGAACAAATCCAGCAGAGGCATGAGGACGAACGAATTCAGAGGAGGCATGGGGATGAATGGATCCGGTGGGAGCTGATGCAGGCGGTGCTAGGACTAGAGCCAGTGGCAGCGTGAGGACAGGAGCCGGTCGCATGAGAATAAGAGTCAGCGGCATGGGCTCCACATGGGGCAGTACAAACATGGAGTCAAGAACCCAGTCCAGAAACCATTCATACTGAAGACCTGATGGGCCAAATTACTTAGCCCAACTGTTCAGGCGAGCCCAACATCTTTTTCTCACCTTTGGGCCTTCCGGTTAGTCGTCCACAGGTCCCCTAATCATACGACTAAAATCATGGTTAGTCAGACGACTAGGATTATAGTCGACCTATCTGTATCGAAGTGCCTAATCGAGGTCCAGGGACCAATAAGGCCGAGTGGCCGACTAATCATGACTATTCGCAATTAGTCATCCGATTTAGTAACATTGACAATTTGAATTGAACAGAAAAGTACTGGTGCAACAGTTGGATATGAACTACACATTCACTAAACTTTGGGCTTGTTTGCTTCCCTGCCCAGCTATATAAGCTGTCTCATAGGTGCTAGCTTATAGGTGTTAGCTGCTTCTATAAGCTGGCTTATAATAATTTTGAGGGAAATAAGCTGTAGGGCTGTTTGGCAACCTAGCTTGTAAGCTGGCTCATAGGTAGTTGTGGATGGCAAAAGGCAGCTTATGGATGGCAGCTCTCCTATGTGATCGAGAAAAAAAAAAGGCAGTTGTGGATGGGAAAAGGCAGCAATGCCCTCAGTTGTTGGTTGTGCGGTTTGTGCCGTTGTGGATGGCAAATGACAGCAATCCTCCAAGTGGGATGGGTAGTTTTGATAAAAAGCCAGAAAGCAAGCCGAAGTAAGCTCCCCCTTGGGCAGTTTAAAGGCTTATCATAATTGATAACCTGGAGTCCTAGCTTATATAAGCCACAAAATAAGCTGTGCTGTTTGTTTAACATTTGAGCTTATATAAGCTAAGGATAAACAAACAGATCTATAAGCTAAATCAAAATCTAGAAAAGTGCAATTGGTAAAGATAACTTCAGGAAAGTAAGTATTGTGTTCCATTCTATCTGTCTTATGTATGAAGTAAGCATTTGCAATACTCCTTTACCGATCCATTTAAAACATAACTTTTAGGCAGGTTTTAGCACATGTAAGCACTTGCTGTGTACAAAAATAAGATCATTTTTCTATGTTACTGTACATTTTTCACAAAATACCAATCTACGAGCAGTAGAAACTCACCCAAGCAAATAACAAGCAGAATGCAACTGATGCCAGCTGGTATAGTTCATTTGTCTGTGTGACATGCAGAGCAACCACAACATAAGATTGCTGATGAGAATGTTCTACAAGATCAAAACTCAAATTGCTAAAAAAATGTACTGCTTTCTTCCCCAATCAAACTTTACCTGTGATGACAGACTTATCATCAGTTTAAGAAACCAAGGAACGCCGGTGCGGGAGAGGATAGAGAGAATGGTCAGGAATGATATCAATACCACCAGCCTGAGAAGTTGTATCAAAGAATTAATTCCACAACTGACTATGTCCTAGAATACTTTTACAGGCTAGCAGACAAAATATAAATGGATAATACAATTAGTAATATTAAATGCAAGATAATAAAGAGATCATAAACTATTAAGGTGAGTTTGGGGTTAGCAATGTTATCTCAACTGGACCTGCCAACATGTCAAGAAAACATGAACTTACTGCACAAGAACTGCATCAAGTGGATAAGCCGACAAAACAGTCAATTCATTGCAAAAGAAAAATTGCAAATATAAAGGTAACCAAAGTAATTCAGGGCAAAAGGGGGAAGGAAATGCTGCACTTACGACTTGGTCATTGATGCAACTCCGTGAAGAAGGCCAGATGTACCACTCAAAATTGGAAGAAGTGCAAACAGCAAGCCAACAGCACAATCCTGAGGGGGAGAGAGATAGGATGTCACAGAACTGAGATATATTTTATTTTAGAAAAGGAAAAATAAATTTTCCTTGGATCAACTTTTTCTTAACAACGGCAGACACTAGATGCGTGTACACAGATGCATCTTGCACACAAAAGATGAAGAAAGTATGACAGACCTGCAATATAAGCGTCCCGACTGTAACTTGGCCATGAAGAGCATTGATACTATTTCTTTCCATCAGAAACTTTAAAACCTAAATGTACAAAACTTACCATTATTGAATAAACAGATAACCAAGTGGCACACGGCAGCATCAAGAATGACAACACAATGATGTAAAGAATTAGCCTATTGCAGTTGCAAGTGACAAAACATCCAAACATATTACATTCAGGGGGAGGAAGTTCTGGACTTCGCGGTAGCTTTTGACCTGATGATAGCCAACACTTTCTTTAGAAAGAGAGAATCTCATCTAGTGACCTTCATTAGCGGACAACACTCTAACCAGATTGACTTTGTCCTCGCAAGAAGAAAGGACAAACGAGCATGCTTGGGTTGCAAGGTGATACCAGGGGAGTGTGTTGTTTCTCAACATAAGCTTTTGGTGGCAGACTTCCGTTTTCAGGTGCGTGCCCGTAGGGATAAACAAGCTAAAAGATTGAAAGAACAAAGTGGTGAAAACTAAAAGGGGAGACGTCAGAGGTATTCAGGAAAAGGGTTATCAAAGAGGGCTCTTAGAAGTAAAAAGATGACATAAACAACATGTGGGAGAAGATGGCAACCAACATTCGAAAGGTAGCCTCAGAGGTGTGTGGAGTAACTAAAGGAAGTGGAGGCAAGGCTAAAGATACTTGGTGGTGGAACGAGGAAGTCCAAAGGGCTATTAAGGAGAAGAAAGAATGTTATAGACGCTTGTACCATGACAGGAGTGTGGACAACATAGATAAGTACAAGGTGGCAAAGAAGACTGCAAAGCGAGCTGTAAGTGTGGCAAAGGGTAGAGCGTACGAGGATCTTTACCAGCATTTGAGTACGAAGGAAGGAGAGAAGGACATTTATAGGATGGCTAGGGTTCGTGAGAGAAAGACAATGGACTTCAACCAAGTTAAGTGCATTAAGGATGAAAGGGAGCATCTCTTGGTGAAGGAGGATGAGATCCGACATCGATGGCAAGAGTATTTTGACAAATAGTTCAATGGTGAGATTACGGATACAACCTTTCAGTTGGATGACTCTTTTGATGACACCAATAGGCGCTTTGTGCGGAGAATCCAAGAATCTGATGTCAGAGAGGCGTTGAAAAGGATGAAAGGAGGTAAGGCGATGGGACCAAATGGTATCCCAATCGAGGTGTGGAGATGCCTCAAGGACATAGCTATAGTATGGCTAACCAAGCTGTTCAACCATATTTTTCGATCGAACAAGATGCCTGACGAGTGGAGGAGAAGTATATTGGTACCGATCTACAATAATAAAGGGGATATTCAAAGTTGTACTAATTACCGGGGAATTAAGTTGATGAGCCATACTATGAAGCTATGGGAGAGAGTTATCGAGCATCGCTTGAGAGCAATAACGCGGGTCTCTATGAACCAATTTGGTTTCATGCCCGGAAGGTCAACCACGGAAGTCATTTTCTTAATAAGACAAGTTATGGAGCGGTATAGGGAGAAGAAGAAGGACCTACACATGGTTTTTATTGACTTGGAGAAGGCTTATGATAAAATACTAAGGAATGTTATGTGGTGGGCTTTGGACAAACATAAAGTCGCAACGAAGTACGTCGGGCTCATTAAAGACATGTACAATAATGTTGTGACTAGTGTTCGAACAAGTGATGGAGACACGGATGACTTCCCAATTAGGATAGGACTACATCAAAGGTCAGCTTTGAGCCCTTATTTGTTTGCCTTAGTGATAGATGAGGTCACAGGGACATACAAGGGGAAATCCCTTGGTGTATGCTTTTCGCGGACGATGTAGTGCTAGTTGATGAAAGCCGGACATGAGTGAATCAGAAACTAGAGTTATGGCGGGAGACTTTGGAGTCCAAAGGTTTTAAACTCAGTAGAACTAAAACTGAGTATATGAAATGTGACTTCGGCACTACTACTCGGGAGGAGAAAGATATTAGTTTAGAAGGTCAAGTAGTGCCTAGGAAGGATACCTTTTGATATTTAGGATCGTTGCTACAGAGAGACGGGGATATTGATGAAGATGTTAGCCATAGAATCAAAGCACGGTGGATGAAGTGGCGCCAAGTATCTGGTCTCCTATGTGACAAAAGGGTACCATAGAAGCTAAAAGGCAATTTTTATAGGACGACGATTAGACCCGCTATATTGTATGGTGCAGAATGTTAGCCTACGAAAAGACGACACGTTCAACAGATAAGTGTCGCGGAAATGCATATGTTGCGTTGGATTTGCGGTCATACAAGAAGGGATCGAGTTCGCAACGATGATATACGTGATAGATTAGGGGTAGCACTAATTGAAGAAAAGCTTGTCCAACACCGGTTGAGATGGTTTGGACATGTCCAACGGAGACATCCAGAGACACCGGTGCGTAGTGGAATCCTAAGCCAGGATAGTAACGTGAAGAGAGGCAGAGGAAGACCGAAGTTGACTTGGCTAGAGGCAATAAAAGGAGACTTGAAAGGATGGAATATACCCAAAGACTTAGCCTTCGATAGGAGTGCTTGGAAAACAGCTATTCACGTGACTAAACCTTGATAGCTTCTGCTAGGTTTCAACTCTAGCCTACCCCAATTTGTTTGGGACTTAAAGGCTTTGTTGTTGTTGTTGTTGTATATTACATTCAGGGTTCAAACATCATAATCATATGCTAAATTTCTAAATCAAGATGTACCGACTCCATTTGTGGTACAGGCAAATATTTTTCATATATATGAACAGCAGGTGAGGCCCCTGCTGGTATTTTTTATATATTTTCAAAGAAAATTAAAAGGTTGTTTACAGAAACCAAAATAAGTTCGTGTACAACAATAGGTGCATGCAATTATGAGAAACACACTACGGCACAGCAAAGTTATGAGGTAGTCATTCACAAACAACTATGTATTCAGGCATTCACTTGCTTCGAGATAATTTCAATCACAAAATGCAGCACCAAGCATTTTGTGTGCGTGTACATGTGTGTGACGAGAGAGAGGGAAGAGAGCCAGGCTACTGGACCAAATAATGATAAGAGTGGCAAGAGTAATTGACACAGTGAACAAAAACATTGATTTCTCTCATAGGCTGCCTGCTGTTGACCTTGACCAGATACTTACCACAGCTGTTGAAGACATGGAGAGAAGAACACCAACGAAAACACCTTCTTTTGTTTTGCCTCCACATAGCTGCATTAAACATCACAAAAGATCTGTCAACCATGCTCTTAGAAATCAAGAATTGAAAAACCAAGGCCATACAACCTAGAAACAGAAAAATAGCTACCATGGTAAAAATGCATCAAATATTTTTCAAAAAAATACTGGCAGGTCCAGCTCCAGGAAGCTGACTTGGTTACTTCTACTGCATAATTCCATCTAGTTGCTTTTATTGGCCGTATGTTCGAATGAGTTAAGGATGCATCAGATCTTGTTATTCTGATCAATGTTTTATGAAACAATTTAATTATTTGATGTTAGGACATACAGTGCACGGGATAGTAGATCCCAATGTTCCCATCAAAGAGAGAGTGATATCTAGGTTCACACAACATAACAAGACAGCTCCAAAGTATATATCATAATGCAGACAACAGAGATAAAACTCACTGTAGCCAAAATACCACAAAGAAACATGAACAGCATAATTTGGAGCAATCCTCCGAGAACAGCAACAGCACGAACAACTCGAAGCTGAGGCAATGTAAAAAAAACACTATGTTAACTTCAGATCACAAATGATGTTACCAACTGAATGAGGGAAGAAATGTAAGTAGAATACTTTTGCAGTAGAAAACTCAAGTCCCAATGCAAACAGGAGAAATATCACACCAAACTGGGCTACCGTTTCAACCTGGAAAAGAAACAGTGGAATTGTTAGTCGCTGAATTCTCACTCTTGGTAGTAGCAGAATTCTTACTCTTATCGAGAGAGGATGACACTAGGAGTTGGGACAATTTTCTGTTTTATTTCTCGATGCCATGCCAACCTGAGGGGTTGGGGATACATATTTATAGGCTGCTAGCCAGCCAAGCATATGCCAAGATGCTAGTCTAAGATGCTAATATGCTGTCCTAGCTAAGATGCTGTCCTAATATGCTGTCCTAGCTAAGATGCTTTCCTCCAGTCAGTTGTTGTCCTCCAGTCAGTCAAGGAGATGGACAGCCACAAGGACCTGCAGCCACCATATGCTGCAGCCAGCCCCACAAAGACCAGCCAGCACACGAGACTTATCCATCATTCTCCCCCTAAGTCTTGTGTGTCGTCTTGTGGGAAAGTTGAACCATCCCGGTCCTGGAACAGAGCTCAAGGAACTTGATCCTCCCAAGGGGCTTGGTAAGCAGGTCCGCAAGCTGGTCCTTGGTGTTGATGTAGCTCGCCTTGATGCTCCCTTCCTCCATGCAGCCTCGGATGAAGTGGTACCTCACCCGGATGTGCTTACTCCGTTCATGGAACACGGGGTTCTTTGCCAGGGCCAGAGCGGACTTGCTGTTCACTCTGAGCTCCACCGCTCTAGTGTCTCTGCCGAGGAGATCACCAAGCAGTCGAGCGAGCCAGAGCACCTGAGTCGAAGCGGTGGAGGCCGCTATGTACTCGGCCTCGCGGTGGACAGGACCACCACCGCCGCTTGACCGATTGCCCACTAACGAGGCACTTGCCGAGGAAGAAGAGGATCCCGCTCGTGCTCTTAATAGTGTCGATGTCGCCGGGCGTGGTCATTTGTCATTGCATGCCCCGACGAAGTGTGCCTCCCAGGGCACCTAGGGTAGTAGAGGCCGTGGTCGAGAGTCCCCGCAACGTAGCGGATGATCCTCTTCATGACTTCTTTGGTGCTCCGTCGTCCATCCTTTGCATGAACCGACTAACGTAGCCGACGAAGAATGCCAAGTCCGGGTGTGTGGGCGAGGTAGCGAAGGCTCCCCACAAGACGCCGGCAGTGCTGCGAAGCGTCCACCTCCTCCGTTGTCTTTGTCATGGCTCGACTTGACCTCTCCTCCATGGGAGTGAGTGGGTTGCGATCGGTGAGCCCAATTTAGCTCAACAACGCGCTTGGCGTGGGCGGTCTGTCAAGCGTGATCCCGAGTCATCTGGTACACCTCGATTCCTGTGTAGAAGGAGAGAGGCCTGGGTCCCTCATCCGGAAGGTGGCCTTCATCTCTTCCTTGAATGCCGCCACCTCGCATCCTTGGTGCCGGTGATCACCAAGTAAATCAACGTAGACACCAACCAGCAGATCATTTTCTCCTTCGCCCGTCGGTAGATGGCACGCCTCGTCGCGGGCTTTGCTCAAGCCCTTCCCTTTAGCGTGGAATCGACTTGGCATTCCACGCCCTCGTTCTTGCCGCCGCAAGCCATAGAGGGCCTTGCGCAGTGAGCACTCGCCCTCTTGCCGGGGATCGCAAATCCCGTGGTGGTGCTGCGTAGACCTCCTCCTTCAAGTCGCCGTTAAGGAACGCCGACTTGACATCCATGTGATGAAAACGCCGACCCTCATGGGCGGCTAAGCGAAGGAGTCGACGGACTCCATCCGTGCCACGGAGCAAAGGCGTCGTCGAAGTCGACCCCCTCCCGCCGCGACGAAACCTCGTGCCACCAAGCGAGCCTTGTGCTTGCGATGGCACCGGCTTCATCCTCTTCGACTTGTACACCCACTTAAGGGTGATCGCGCGGTGACCACGAGGAAGGTCGCCAAGCTCCAGTCGCGGTTCTTCTCAACCGCATTCATCTCCAAGCGCATCGCGGCGCACCATGCCGCATGTCTCTCGACCTCGCGCAAACGCATCGAGGCTCACCGTCGTCACACACAAGGTGCAAGCTGTGCTCGTCGTCGTCAGCACCCGGTCCGAGACCGGTGGTCGCCGAGAAGGTTCTCCATCGTGTGGTACCGCAACGGCTCGCCGTCGTCGGGTGCGCGTCGACGCGCTCCTCGTCGGAGAGAGAGTGGAGTAGCGAGCTCAACCGGGCCGTGCTCGACACGAGTTGGTGGTGGAGTAGACGTGCCCGGAGTGGTGCCTATCGGTCTTTGGAGTGTGTGGCGTTTTACCGTGGTGGAGCCGTGAAGAACTCATCGCGCGGTGAGGTCTGGCCGGAGAGCGTGGTCTTTGTCAGAATGGCGGCGCGGGGTCGGTGAAGGCTTCGGGGGACTGGGGTAGACGCGCTCGTCGAAGAAGAGCCGCCTACTCCCTGACTCCCTCGAAGTGGATGTACTCGGCAGTGAAGTCGCCGTAAATGACGTCGGAGCCGAGCCGTAAATCCACCGCCTTGTCCACGCCCATCCTCGCCCTTCGTTGAACACAACGTCGCGCGCCGCGGCGCACCCGCTATGTCTTGGTCGAGGATGCGGTGAGGCCTTCGAGCCTCCGTAGCCGATGAACACTCCCGCAGTGCTCTCGCCGCGTCGAGCTTGCTAATGTGACCAAGCTCCTTGGCGAACGCGAGGCAGCCGAAGACCCGCAAGTGGGAGACCGCCGGCTTGCGCCCATGCCAAGCCTCGTACGGCGTCCTGCCGTCGAGCGCCTTGGTAGGCGAGCGGTTGAGGATGTAGACGGCCGACACCACCGCCTCTCCCAGAAGACAGCCGGCATCCCCCTCTGCTTGAGAAGGGCCCGAGCCATCCCCACAACCGTCTGGTTGCGCCGCTCGACGACGCCGTTCTGCTGCTGAAAAGGACAGCGGTAGTGAGTAGTGGCGTTGAATGCCCCTCATCGGTTGTGAAGACGACGCTGAATTCAACCCGCCGTGAATTCGCCGCCGTTGTCGATCGCGAAGACGCTGTGCTTGGCGACGCGGCCGCGCTCGCCTCCGCGGCTGACTGCGCGCTGATGGCGTCATGCCTCTCCCTTGTCGCCGAGGACCATCACCCACATGTAGCGGGAGAGGTCGTCGACGAAGCGGCGCAGGAAGTAGCGTCGTCCTCCGGTGTGGCGGTGTCGCCGCCACACAAGTCCCGTGCACAAAGCCTCTCCTTGGCTCGGCTCGCATCTTTGGGGAAAGGGGAGTCGCCCGCGCCGTCAACACGCAGACATCGCAGAGTTGCTCCACATGGTCGGGCACGGCGGGCCTCGCACCATCTCCGTGGCATCGAGCCGCTTGGGGCCTCAAAGTGAAGGTGCCCGAAGTGCTCGTGCCATCGCCACGCCTCGTTGTCCCGACGGCAAAATGAGACAGAGGGGTTGTGCCACCGCACGTTAAGGGCGTAGAGTCGATTTGGCGCTTCTAGATACCTTGGCAAGAAGGCGGCGGCAGCGATCCCAAATCCTCATGACTCCGTCCTCAACCACCACGCGCGAACCGTTCTCATCCAGCTGTCCCAAGCTAATGATGGAGTTCATCAACGCGGGGATGTAGTAGAGACTCCGGTGAGCGACTGTGCTCACCGGACACGGCGGTGAAGATGACGGCGCCGACGCCCTTGATCTCCACGCCGGAGGCATCCCCAAACTTGTGACGGAGCCTCGGACGCTAGAGTCAAGCTCGGTGAAGAACTCCCATCGATCGGTCATGTGATGGGTGGCGCCGGTGTCGAGGCACCACCCCGTCGATCTTGTCGTTCTTGAGCTGCCGCCGAGGAGGCGTGTGCTTTTGGCTCGTCAAGGTGGAGAAAAAGCCGCTGCGGCGGCGGTCTGTTGGAGGTAGCTTCGATGCTTGCATGTGCCATGAAACGAGCCGGCTCCTCCTCGCTTTGGCGACGTGAGCTGGCCGCGTCGTGGTATCGATAGTCCTTGGCCCAATGGACAAGCCGGCCTTAATTGCGGCGGCGTCGTCGTCTCGTGTCGGCTTGTGCTTCGCTGGCGGCGCCGCTTTGGCGCCTCGCGAGCATCACCCAACGCGTCCTCGCGCCGCCGGCATCAGGCTCTCTGGCGGCTTTGGCTTGCGCGCTGCCGGCCGCTTTGTCGCGGAAGAGGCTCCCCTTCTTCCGGTCACCTTGGGCGGCAAGCCATCGCTCCCGAGTGAGAAGGAGCTTCCCGCCCGGTGGTGATGGGCCCCGAGAGAGGCGTGGCTCATCGGCGTCGGCGACCTTGAGGCGACCTATATCGCCTCCTCGATCGACATCGTGGAGATCCGGCGAGAGACTCAATCGAGCGAGCCATCCGCTTGTACTTCTCGGGGACGCGGCGGAAGAGCTTTTTTCGGCTCTCTCCTCGTCGTAGGTGTCATCACCGAAGCGCACCATCTTCGCAATGAGTGTTGAGGCGGAAAGCAAAGTCATCAACGTCCCTCACGGCTTGAACGCCGTGTTCTCCCGCTCCTGCGAAGTGCCGCAGTGTGGACTTGCGCGCTTGATCGTTGCCGGCGCGCGTGCCGCGATGATGGCGTCCCAAGCCTCCTTGGCGGTCCGGTTGTTGGTAGCGAGAAGCGCATCTCGGGCGGATCTAGCGGCGATGAGGGCATCGGCGCCCGTCGATCTAGGTCGTAGTCGACGTCGCCGTCATCGGACCGCCTCCCACATGTGCCGCACTGGAGCTTTACCCTCATCACCACACCCCACTCGGCGTAGTTGGTCTTGGTGAGGTAGGCCACCCACCGTCGGGGCCGGCGTCCCCCGACAACGACCGAGCCCGTGGTAACCACGGTATCGATCCGGGAGAGAGCCACGCGCTGTGAAGGCCGCGCTCTCCATCGACCGCGTCGGTATCGATCCGGGAGAGAGAGCCACGCGCTGTGAAGGCCGCGCTCTCCATCAACCCGTCCGCCACCGCTGCCCGCCACCGTTGCCGTGCGCGCCTCCTCCAGGCGCCACCGCCATCGCGCGCCTCCTCGGGAGAGCGCCGCCGCGCGTCGCGCTTGTCTGGCTGCCGCCGCTGCGTGGCGTCTTGTGGCCGCCTCGCCTGCGCTCGCCGCATTCGTCCTACCTCCTCCCCGATAGCTCGAGGTCGCGTCGTCATTGCTGTCGTCGGCAGAACGGAGGCTGGCGATCTTTGCTGCCAGAACCTCGACCTCTGCCGCCGCCGCTGACACGCCGCCGCCCGCCGCCGCCTTCCGCCCGCTGCTGTTGCGCCGATTGCCGCCGCTGCGATCTCGGGCGCGCTTCTTTGCCCGCGGCAATCTCTGCCGCCGTTCGCTCGCTCGTTCCTCTCTCTGCATGCAAGTTCGGCCTCCCGCCGACGCCTTGGCGTGCTTTCGAGGCGACCGAGCGCCGAGACCGCCTTTACGGACATGACGCGCTACTGGGGGGCTGCTTGTGTGGGGGAGAAGGGCTGCCAGAGAGAGCCGCTTTGCTCGTCTGCCTTGAGAGAGGGGAGTGAGCAGAGGCGCGGCAAGTTGCCATCGCCGCATTGGGTCATTGTGTGGTGAGCAAGGAGATGAGCGAGGAGATGCTCGAAGCTCTGAGGATAGTCTGGCTCTCGATACGGTTGTTAGTCATTTGAATTCTCACTCTTGGTAGTAGCAGAATTCTTACTCTCATCAAGAGAGGGACGACACTAGGAGTTAGGATAATTTTACGGTTTATTTCTCAATGTCATGCCAACTTTGAGGGGTTGGGAATACATATTTATAGGTTGCTAGCTTGACCAAGCATATGCCAAGATGCTAGTCTAAGATGCTAATATGTTGTCCTAGCTAAGATGTTGTCCTAATATCTTTGTCCTAGCTAAGATGTTGTCCTAATATCTTTGTCCTAGCTAATATGTCGTCCTAGCTAAGATGTTGTCCTAATATGTTGTCCTAGCTAAGATCTGTTTGTCCTCCGATCGATTCTTTGTCCTCCGGTCGATCAAGGAGATGGATGACCACAAGGACTGCTGACCACCATATCTCATGCACCCGACCCACAAAGACCGGCCAAAGACATGATACTTATCCATCAGAATATAAGGAAATGCCATAAATAAAAACATGGAGTACTTATGTACATCTTATCGACAAAGTGCCATTGCATAGTAGGCAAAGACATGAGTAAATGTAAAACAGTAGTAGGTCGAAACTCATAAGCAAGATAATTGTAAGAACAGTTGATTTTAGAATGTATGAAATAGTGGAACAAAGTTATCCGGTAGAAAATAAACTAAGCCATACTGTAGATATATAAATACATATAGAAGAATTGAGTGTGTGTCACACACATCATGTTAGAAATATGATGGGAGGAGACATTAGCCGACAAACATATGTTTCAAAGACAAGTCTACATGCCAGTTATCTTGTATAAAGGTTTTCAAGGGCATGCGTATCCATTTCAAACATGGAAGCAATGTTTTACGATCGACTTATCGTTTCCTAATCGATGCGGTACCGATTAGGGACGATCGAGACGATGTCGACGATCAGGACGATTAATCGACCTCGATCGGTCTAATCGTCCATATAATCGTCCGACATATAGCAGGACTATATAAGTATATATCATATATGTATGGTATATATATAATATACCATATACTATATATTTATATAGTAGACATCGAGCATTACTATATATTCATATATATATTTATATACCATAGTAGACATCGAGCATATACCATATACTATCAAGATGACATCGAGCATTACTATTTATATAGTAGACATCGAGCATATACCATATACTATATACCATATACTATATATATATGTATGGTACATATATAATATACCATATACTATATAATATACCATATACTATATATTTATATACCATATACTATATATTCATATATGTCATCCTAAGTGCTGATCGGCAAAGAGACCTAATCGGACGATTAATCGCGATTAATCGACGATTAATCGGACGATCAGGTTTCTGATCGCTCTGATCGAATCGGAGGGCCTAATCAAGTGCTAAGTACCGATAAGGACGATTAATCGCGATTAATCGGACGATCAGAAAACATTGCATGGAAGCCATAAAGATTAAGCGTTAGAAAAAGCAACCCACAAAGGTGGAAGCACCTTACTTGCACCATTTCATTGACAAAGCTAAAACCTCCAGGCCCAATTATAGATCCTGCAAGTAGATAACCTGTAATCACCTGCAATATACTTTGAATTGTAGGTTCACGTAGCTTAACCTTAAAAATACAACATTTTGAATAGACAAATTATGTTTCGAGCTATTAATAATGATACACAAATTAGAAGAAATAAAAGTATAGATACTCACCGGTTGCCCAAGGCAAGCAAAGGCGATTCCACCACATGTAGCAGACACGATAACAACTACAAGATCTGATATCAATCTACAATAATATACATTCAACAGATAAGTTTCCATGCAAAAAAGATATTTTCATCCAACACTTCAAATGACTGAATACTGAGTTGCATACCTAAGGTCCAGCTGCAGCACAGGGTATTTTGACTTCGGGTTTGATATGATAAAAACATTATCCTGGGGTAAAGATTGGATTAACACAAAACTGTTATAAAAAATGGTCATAACATGCCCACAACACTATGCCAACATGTATGGCACATGCGCAGTAACTTGACAGAAAATTCCATCCAGAGGATGTGATTGCACCTTCCGATCAATCAATGTGGGAACATCCTCTTGCTCAGATCGATCCAAGAAAACCTCATTAAAAGGAAATGACCTGATGGAACAGAATGACAACTTTAAACTCTATTGCACATTCTGAATCTAAGGTTAATTTCATCTAGCAGAAATAACGAAGAGTGGATTTACAGCATACTTGTTATCTTTGGTTTCATTCTTCTTTGTTACTCTTCTAGCCACAGTTTCAAGAACTCCCTGGTACAAGTACAAGGAACAAGATGAGCAGTTTGCATTACATATCTGTGATGTGTAAGCACCAAATTTTCTAAGTACAGGTAAACACAACGATGCATTAGAGTACATATATGCACTTCAAGTTTTCCAATATCCAAACAAAGGACCACAGACCACTATGTTATTGTCTGAGAAAATAGATGTTGCGACATCTTGTTTCTTGAACCCAATGTGTATCATGCAGGTTATTATATGCTTTAAATTAAAAGATATACTCCCTATGGTAAAAAAATACTTGTTGCATTTGACTTTGCAAAGCCCTCGACACATATATTTGATCACTAATTTCTTTTAAAACAACATTCTTATAATCCTTCAAATTTCTGAGATTTTGCAAGTATTTTTCAATCAATTCTACACACTTACATGTTTCAATCTAAATAATTTAAAAGTTACTGATGTTTATAGTTTTTAAGGTTTGACTAACTCTTGTCCGAGAAAATATGTTTCTATAACGACGAGTATTATTAAGAAATAAGGAAGTAACAAACATGCTAATGGGGATCTGAAGTTTTGAAATGAGCTACTCAATGTAGCAGTCATGTAGGAGATCAAACATGAACTCCAGTAGGGAAACAGAACTAGGATGTCCAAAACTAGATTTTTTCTGTAGCATCTTAGGAACACGATAAACAAATAATCGTCTTCAATAGTAGCTAATGGGCACAATAAACAGTCATACTAATTACCGCTCATGTGCACAACAAGCATAAAGTCATACTTATTATTGCCAAGCATAGCACAAAATAAACAACATCCAAGATATTGGTGTCCCTCATCAGCACTAGGAAAATGCCAATCAAACAACATAAAGCAAAATGGCCATATAAAGTCAAACAGCATGTTCGCTTGTTGGTTTCAGCCACAGTCCAAACCAGCCAGCCAACAGTGTTTTTCTCTCACAACAAACCAGCATCGGCCAGCCCAAACCAGCCCAGAAACCAACCAGCGAACAGGCCGAAAGGGCCCAAAAGCTATACAATGATGACATATGGATGGGTCATTGAATGCTAGTAGATTGCAACATAAATACACTAGCGACAGCATCAAGGCACCATAGTAGATTACTAGATTCACAAGTGTAGGAATCAGGCACAGGTCAGTCCAAAAGCGAATTTCCTTCCATTCACAAATTCCAACATGCAAGTAGTGAGCAAATCACCCAAAACCTAGTTGTGGCAGACCCAATGTTGAATCCCAGAATCAAAGACTCAAGCTAAGAAAGGGGCAGCACACAAATAAAATGGCGCAATGAACTCACCTGCTTCTCAGCTACCGTGTTGTTGAAACTACCAGGATCGGTCTCTGCAAAACCAGAGCACAGATTAGCACAAGCAACTCCAAGCCCAAACCGGGACCTCCATTCTCAACGCCCCCACACGCTCCAACCACCGAGGCCGAGATCTAAACAGCACGGCCACCGACACACGCCACCGCCCCCACCCACACACCCGCCCCAGAACCAGATCCCGCGCCTGAACGGATCGATGGATCCAGGGAGTTGGCCAGATCCACGCACCTCCACCGCCCTGCTCGCCCTCGGACTCCGGGAACTCCTTCTCCAGCGCGCGGTCAATCATGTCGGCGAGGCTGCCCTCCTTGGCCTCCGTGGCATTGCCCTGAGCCACCACCTCGCCGCCGGCCTCCGCCACGGCCACCCCATCCCCGCGCGCCTCCGCCTCGACCTCCGGCTTCCCCGCGCGGCCCTCGTGCCCAGCGCCGCCACCGCCGCCGCGGCCAGCGGCCTCGGCGGCCGCGGCGGGGGAGAATGCGACGGCCGCAGCGAGGAGCAGGCCGCAGACGAGGAGGAACGGGAGGGGGAAGGAGGAGCCCGGGTGGTTGCTACGGCGACGCGGCAGCATCGCCGGCGAGGGGGTGGGGGCTTTGGCAGGCGACCAGGCGAGCGGGCAGCGCATCGGAGTCCGTGTGGGGGCTGACCGGCCGTGGCCGGTTCCGCTGGGGTTTAGATTTTCTGGAAGGCGAACGGAGCGTGGCGGTGACGGCGTGCGCCGCTCGTGCCGGGGAAGGGACGCACGCGCTCGCGCTCACGCTCGCGTACGCACACGCAGGTGCAGACGCAGAGAGAGGCAGAGACGGGGGTGGATGGAGACGCTTGCTTTGTTGGTGACTTCGCCTCCAAGTGAGTAAACGAGGCAAAAGCCAAAGGCCCGAAGTGTGTGTTGTAGTGTTGTGAGTTCGTGACCCTGTGTTAATTTGTAGGGGTGTTTGTTTTGTTTTATATGGAGTTAGTTAGGTTCTCACTCCAGCAATTTGCATGTTTTATTTCATCGTTTATAAATGAATATAAGCTATTCCTTCCATTCTAAATTATAAACCGTTTTAACTTTTTTTTAATACATTATTTTAGCCTATGTCTAGATAAATGATAAAAGCTATGTATATAGAAAAACCAGAATAACTTTAGTTTAAAATAAAGAGAGTACGTATGTATGGAGTTGCATCTGATTGGACATTTATCACTACTATTCCAACAAAGCTATCATAGCAAGTGTAGGGAATATTTATGGTATATGTATCTCTATGACGAGTGATGACGGCTAACAAAGACAAAGACTTAGTTAAGACCTCGAGAGACTTTGCTCCCGTAGCGTAATAATGCAAACACACTGGCTTTTATAAATTGCATCTTATTCTCCCGTATATGATATATGCGAGAATAAACAATGAAAACTAGGTAAAAGTATGGAAGCCACTTTAACCACCACGCCAGAAGTTATGATGAAAACTTCTAAAATGCAACTATTTCAGTTTTGAAGATTAGACTTAGCTTCATTTGTGAAATAATCTCTTTAGATTTAAATATATGATGTTTAGGACCAGCTAATTAGTCAGCTAATTTTGTTGTAAATGAGCACGTCGTCTACCACCGAAACAACATCATCTAGAAAAATATAAGCACCCCACATGAGGTTGAGGACGGGCAGATTTCACCACAAGAAACTCAATCAACTGAACTAGACTCAGTTCACACGATGTACCATACTAGATTACATGGAAAATGAGACAATACATTTCTTGGTGGCTACCACTACGACTAATAATGTTCATTAGGATGTGTTTGCTTGTTGAGGGTTGTTAGCCTTGCTAACAATATCGCTTGCCACTCACAAACGATTTGATGTAGCAGGTCTAACAACCGGTTGTACCAAAATTCCTGTTGTCTTAATGAAACACGGTTCAACCCCCGTTCGCGAAAACAAATGTTCATAAGGTGACGTTTTTCACACAACGATACCTGAGCGAATTCATTTGGTCCTTTTTTTTTCTGAAAGTGAATAATTTGGTCCTCCTTCGGTGACAGTTCACATGCTCTGCTCGCGATCACAACGATGCCTACTGGGGCAGCAGCACTTGCCGGCGGTTGCATGAGCGCTCACTCCACCATCGTCTCCGTCTCCACTCTCCAGGAGGATCCAATCGCCGCTTTTTCGCTGTGGTCGTCACTGCCACCGCACTCTGCTTTTTTGTTGGAGGGAGAGAGACCGGGAGAGGGCCGAACTATCTCCAGTAATGCAGCATGGAGAGTGGTGGCGCCGTAGCCGTGGAGGTGGAGGGTGATGATACACGGCCGAATCACCGTTAGATACAGGAGCACTACTCGTTGGTTGAAAGCGAAAGAAAACTGGTGCTTCCCCGTACTGCAGTTGAACTACGCAGAGATAGGAGGAGGACGGTTAGTGGACTAGCGCACGAGCAAGTGGTGATTATAATGATGACATACTATTTGGTACTCCGCTCATTACTATAAAAAGAACAATTTCTCCAATTTTATCAACAAAAAAAAAATGTGCGGTGCAGGTAAAGGAGAAAGCAGCGCGCCACTTGGATCGCTAGCAGTAGCTGCCTCGGTGCTCGGTCGCGGTAGCCGGCCAGGCCTCACCGTACCTCAGCTCAGCACCAGGTGGGCATGAATGCATGATGCTCGATGGTGGCCTCTGATCTGGTTTGGCCACAGTCCACTTCCTGGTGGTCAAACGCCCAACTTCAAAGTTGAAACCGGCCGCGATGCACGAGCCTAAAAGAGCCGGTCGTTTTTCACAAAATATGGAAGAAAATAATTAAAGGTCGCTTTCAGACCTGGTATTTTCAACTTGTGGCCTGGTCTCTCTTTTCTTTCCCTTTCCCTGTTTTTTCCCCTAATACAACAATAATGAAGAGAAGAAGAGGAGAGTATATATACTCTTTTACATCTCTAGATACGATTCCTGCACCAAAAGCGGGCTAACGGACCGGGCCACGTCGCCCGTTAGACCTTGAACCGTTGGATCTGGCCAAGACGTGATATGGAACGTCAAATCGTGGATCGGGCGGGTCCCCGTCCGTCGCGCCCGGTAACAATCCTGTCGCATCCTCTCGCTTCGTCTCGAATTCTCGATTCAGCCTCGCCTGCATTCGCGCCGCCGCCGCCACTCCCTTCCGCGCACGCGCGGTCCATCGTGCTCCGCTCACGGATCGGCTCCGTCCTCCACTCCCTCTGCTTGCCGTGCCGCAACCTGGCTAGCAGGACGCGACCGCCACTGCGAACTACAAAAGCGCGGGCGTCGCCCACCGACGAGGTAGCGCACCGAGCCGCAGACGTAGCTCCCGACAAGGCGGGCGTGGCCCACCGACGAGGCGGTGCCGGTGAATTCTGCGGCTGGAATTGCTGCTGCTCTGCCTCCCGTCGCCTCTACATCTCCAACCACGGGTCACCCCCACTGAGTGTTCGTCGTATTGCCGCACATGCCGTAGCGCTCGTAGCTGCATTCGTGGGGTTGGATTGGGCGCAGCCCTACCGTGCTACCACACATCTTGCAGGTAATGTCTTCAGGCTCTGATGATGGACACTCGTCGCTCTCTACTCATCTTGGCATCTTGCCTTGCACGCGTTGTGACAGACCGACAAGTTTGCTTCTTTCTTTCAGTTTCCAGCAAGTGTGCCCTTACACAGATTTTGAACGGTTAAATCTATGCCATTTGCAAATCAAATTATTCTTCTCAAGGTACATCATGGCTTGCCTAATTGTTTCGCAGAGTTCTAATTGATGCCTTGGTTCTTTATTTGACCCCAACCATGTTTGCAGATTTAAGGTCAGCTTCTCACCTTGAGTCGATAGTAAGCATTCACAAGAGCCTCAGCCCTAGAGTTAGCACCATGGTCGAACAGCTGGATCCTCGTGTTCACATTCCTGGTACTTACCTCCATTCTTGCAGAATTTGGACTTCTAGCATTGTTAATAACTAATGGCCTATCAGAATAAGTGCCGATTGATGTGGCAAGCTTTTCTTTTTGTTGAGTTACAAAGATGGAATCTCATGGAACATCAGGACCAGGAAACAGAAGTGGGGTCAAGAAATCTAACGAGATGTAATCTTACATTCTGAGTCACAATCTCCTGACAGCCCTCGAGATTAGGATTGTGACAGCAATGACCTTGAACGAAAACAGGTGAAATTCTATTATATCTTAACATGCTCCTTTTTCTTTTCTTTTTTGAGAAGTTATTTAGAAACATACTTTCTGTAGACCCACTCTTAAATGTGTATTGTTCCGTCAGATAATAAGCACACAACCTCTTCAAACGACATTGAAAAGAGAGCCAAATATAATGGATGACCATAACAGAGAATTAAAGAGGCAAACAATCAAATGATCAGTCACAATATAAGAGTCATTTCCTGTCTGCACTCCTTTATGAATATTTTGAAATGCAAGATGCTAATATGATCTTGAACACAAATACAGAATAAACAACCATGGGTCCATAGTCAGCACATGAAAATGTGAATTTTGTCATCCTTTCCAAGTCACTGAGATTGGTCTTGCAGAACTTTAATGTATACTTGAAGAATCTAATCCAAACTATAACTTACAGTGTACTGGCTCTTTGTCACATTATGTGAATGGGGAGCCGGTAGAAGCTAACCAAGCATGGAAATCAAATGTTCAGCATGTCCACGGAAAATGCATTGAACAGTATGTTCCTGTTAACTGTCATGATATTTTCTGAACGAACATGTACTTTCTATTTTCATAGCTGCATTTTTGCTATACCTGATTGTGCCTTCTCATGGCACCTTTTCTCCTAATTCCCTAGACCATCTTCCGATATATAGCTCTATATTTTACCTTTTGACTGAAATCTCTTATTATCTGTATTTATGATAAATCACATGACAGATTCATTTCTTCTCTTCCTTCCACAGGCTCGTTTAGATCAATATTTATATAAGGATATTACATTTTGACATATACACATATATGTCAAGTGAGTCATCCTGCTTTATACTTCTAGCCACTGCATTTTGACATTATATACATGTTAGGTGAGTCATGTCATATACTTGTAGCCACTAATCTTTCACTCTCAATTGTTATTGTGTTTATGAATTCAAATTTCGCTCTCAGCTTCTAGGGGATTAACTCCGAGGAGGGTGTGGTGGGTGCAGCAAAGCCGCACCGGTGTTTTAAAGAAAGGAATTGTTTCCGAATGTTCAATTGTGGCAATTCTTTCTATGGTTAACTATTGTACAAGAGATGGCTCAACGGGAGAGAATTTAAAATGAAGATGCGCTGTAAATTTTCTAAAACAATGGCTCAAGGGGAGAAAATTTCCATGTTCCAAAACAATGCTTATTTTTTATCTTCCATTGTTTCTTTAGGTTATTTGTCAGCACATAAGAGCTTTTGCACCCCTTAGGGCCCGTTCGTCGCCCCCTTAATTACCGCCAGGAACGATTCCCGGTCGGAATCGTTAGTTGATTTGTATAAGATTTCATCAGCAGGAATAAATCCTGATGTCAAACTGCCCCAAACAAACAAGCCCTTAGGATTTTAGACACGGAACATAAAACTTAGGATGTTGTACTTCTACCAACATCATCGGTTTATTCTTACATGTCAGTTTGTATACCCATTTACTATATGGTCAATGACATCAAATCGGATCGTGGGATAAAGGGGTAATCTTTTAAAGGTAACCTTTTACGCTCCACGTCATCACTGGCCATGGCGCGGCAACTCCGCGCCCTGCTTTCTAGTTTTACGACCAAGATAACGGACGTGATTCGTTGCGTCAGAAGCGAGACGGAACGTCCGTCCTCTTTTGATTGGGTGCGAGCCAAGTCTTCAATGCCCAAAGAAAAGCTGGCTGTTGTTGGCTCACCCCACACGCCGTGCTCTTGTCCAATGGAGATGAGCCGTCCGTCGGCGTCAGAAACACGCGCTCCTGCCGCACGGGAGACAGCTTTATTTTGATTTGGTCGTCTACGTGTGCCATTACGACTACCACGACCCTCGCATAAGGTACATAATTTGGTGCTGGAAAACCAAAACATACGACTACGCACGTACACTCGTACAGTACCTCGCAATAATCTCTGCCGCGACGACCTGTCTTCAACTGTGCCAAATAATGGGCTGGATGGAGGGCCTTTCTTAGTCTTAGGATCAGATTCAGGTCCATCAAAGAGGCCCAAAGCAACCACCACAAACTTGACTGTTCCTGGTTCTGGTTTTGGAAAGCCCATCACACAAGTAAGCTTTTGAGGGTTTCCCTCCATGTCCAGGGCGCCCTTTTCGCCGTCTTTACTCTTTTGGAATAACCAGCGCTCAGACGTACAGGCCCAGGCCCGTGTTCGGACGCAGCTCCGCCGTAGCCTATCCTGTCCCTCGGGTAACACAGCGTCCGCCGCGCCCACGTAGGGGAGCCCGCTCGCTCCGCAGGGCGTCTCGAACCTCATCGTGCCCGCGTCACCTCCATAGCCAGGGTCTGCATCTCTGTCGCATGGGGAGATGCCACAAGCTTTTGCTCCAGGACCTCCGCACGGGGCCAACGGAGGTAGCATGTCTTACGGGAACGGGCCGCGTGAACTAGTGCGAACGTCTGTGCGTCCTCCGGTGGAGCGCTGCCGCCAGCTTACAGCCGACGCCACCACGGCTCCCGCACTAGCTCTCTTCCTCGCTAAACAGCCCTACATTGAGATCTACTTTTACAACACTCAGATGAAACAATTACAACATACAACTAAAACAGATGAAACATTTGGAATATACACTTGCAACATAATTATTGTAACATATGCAATATCCAGGTATAATACTTGCAACATACGTGTGTAACAGATAAAACATATGGAACATGTTGTTGTAACATATGTGTAAAACATATGCAAACATCTGTATGAAAACATACGTCTGAAACAAATAAAATATTTTGAACAAACGCTTGCAACATGTCTCTGAAACACTTACAACATATACAACATGTGCAACATCCCCGATCTACTTTTGCAACATCCATAAGAAACAACTGCAACATAACTTTGAAGAGACTGAAACATACATTTGCAACATAGCGGAGGGAAAACCTGGGCTGGTCGATTCCAGACATCGGGGTCCGAGTCGACGGCGCACGAGCACCACCAGCACCCAGCCCCAGCGGCACGCGCGAGCACCCTCACCAGCCAGCACCTGCCTTGGCTCAGCCTGGCGGGCGACGCGTGCTATGAGAGCGAGTGGGCGGCGCCAAAGCGAGGAGTGAGGTGCAAGTGGGGCGCACGACGCGTGGGAGAGAGAAGCGAGGAGCGAGCTACGTAGGTGGGGCGTGTGACGGCGCAGGAGCGAGGAGCGAGCGAGCGGCATCGGGTCAAGGCATGTTGGAGAAGGCCGAGCGGAGTGTGCGGTGTCCGAACGAGAATAAGAGACGGTGGGAGTCAAAGTTGTGGTGCACGTCACGCCATGCGTCCGTCCGGAAGGAGTGCTGGCGTATCGTTACTCTTTAGCTTGGCTGGGAAGCACAGGATAAAAGAAAAATCAGACAAGTAAGCACATTTAGAGCCTTAAATATCTATTTTATTTTATTTAGGTTTTAAAATTCAAAATTTAGAATTTTAAATGACTACAAACGTTGACACGATCTATACGGAATTCGTTTTAAAATTATAAAGTTTGATTTCAAAATATAAGAAAATAAACCGAGTATTTAGGACTCTAAATGGCTTTAGGGAACAAAATTATTAACTACAAAATTATAGATTGTATTGAAACTACAACTTTTATATAGACCATGCCAACATCTGAGGTTGTTTAAAAATTCTAATTTTTAAATTTCAAAATATAAAATTTTAAAAGAATTTTTGACACTGAATAATTCTAATTAAAAAATTATCATCTACAAAGTTATAGATCTCATTGAGCTCTATGATTTTTAATATAAAGTTTGTCACAATTTGACTTTGTATGCAAAAGTTAACCATTAAGGTTGTGGTATAATAGTTATGTGCGTAATGATCACTTTTAACTTCTCTCACATCCACTTCTAGAAAAATACTATTTTAATATCTATAATGTCTATAGTTGAAATATGTCCTCTCGGCAAAAATAGTCCTGTTCTGCTGCACTACTTCAGCAGTGCTTTTCAGCGAATGAATAGTGTTTTCCTCTTACAACAAATCAATGTAAGCCAAATTTTAGCGAAACTTGAATAATGTTATACAACAAAGGGCACGTTTGATTCTGTGCGAGCAAACACTAGTTCTATCTTGATTTCTGTGCGAGCAAAGCAAGGCAAAGTCTATCCAGAAAACCAAACGTGCCCAAATTTACCCCCCTGTTGTACTGCGTTTCTTCCTTCAACTTCAACTTCAACTGTGGCAAATCATGGACCGGATCAATGGCCTTTCTTAGGATCAGATTCAGGCCCGTCAAAGAGGCCCAAAGCAATAACCACAAACTTTGACTGATCCTGGTTCTGGATTTGGAAAGCCCATCCAGATACTACTCTAGTACTCTTTGAAGTTTCCCTACTATTAGTACTAGTGTTGAAGAGCAGCCAGCAGGCACTTTCACACCACAAGTTTGGGGAATACTCACTAGAACAAAACGACGTACACATGCGAGGGACAAACGCACGCAAGTTTTATTCGAAATTGCATTGCATGGCATGGACCTCTGATCTGCACGATACAACATGGGTACACTCTCGACTCAACTCTTGTATAAAAAAGATCGTACATGGCACATATACTGAATTTTCGTAGTCTACATGGTACATGGACACTTGGGACAGCTCTTGGGGTTTCCCCTCCCCTCCAGGCCTCCAGGTCCAGGCCGCCCTTTTCAGTTTTCACCATCTTAGCTTGGCCGGGAAGTACTGCATTGCAGGGAAAAAAATTCAGAAAAGTAAAGCTCATACATATCAGAATTGTGGTTCTCTGACAGAGACGGCGACGCCAAATGCATGGACACATATAGTACAGCACATACCTTGTCGATTAGGGACATGTAGTAGGGCTTCACCTTCTCCACGTCGATCCTGACGTTGCTCTTGCTGTACAGGTCATACTTGCTGCAGCAACAAGAAAAAGGACAGCGCGCACCAGTTGTTAATTATATACTTGTATCAAGTATCTGCAACCGAATGATCTGGTGTTGTTTGTCTTACTTGAACACATGCAGCCACTTGAGGTTCTCCTTGTCCTCTTCGTTCATCAGGTGCATGTAGGCTCCATGCTTGTGCAGGGCTGCATAAATGAAATGAATGTATCCTGACTTGTAACTTCTGAAAACTTTCGTTCTGTATATACATATATACAAAAAGAAGAGAGGATGAGCGATCGAGGGGGCTTACGGTAGAACGAGTGGTATCTGATGATGAACATCCCCGCGGAAGGAAGGGTGCACTTGTTCTCCTTGGCCACCTGATGAGATGAGATGAACACACACGCACATGTCAGCATTTTTCTTTTTCAAAACACACTGCGGCAGGAGAAAGCGTATAGATACTGACCAGGTACATGTAGTTGTCATGGCCCCATGACATGAGCACGTTGTCGAGGCCGCAGCCCTCGGAGTAGACCCCCAGCTTGGTGTTGAGCTTGGGGTTGTGGTAGTCAGGGTTCTCCTTGAAGTACTGCAACAATGGACGTTCGTTCATTTGGATTCAGAATTCAGAGTCAGGGGTGAACAGAGCAGAGCACCCAGTTCCAGACGCTATGCATGCCTACAGCACCGGACTGGTGTGAGTTGTCTGATTTTGGCCTGCGTCCTCCAATTGCTTACCTTGAAGTGGACGTTGCACTCGTCGTATGCGCAGCCGACGGGGAAGGTGTCACCTGAAAGTTACAAGTTTCAGAGGCGGAGTTTTTAGGGTTATGCGTCTAGAAGACGTGAAGTTTTTCTTGCAGTGTCAGGTTTTCACTTCTTACCAACGACAGCCCACTGAGGGAGCTCCCCACAGCTTGGGTGCAGCAGCACCTTGCCCAGGTCTGAAAATGGCAATTAATTAACCTTGTCGTTAGAGTTAGGAATCCGTGGGCCCATGTTTCAGTGACGACACGCAGTTGTATCAACAGCAAGCAAAGCAAAGCAAGGCAGCAAGCACAAGCAATAGTACCGTGGATGAGGCCTGTGAGGTGGAGCCAGTCCTCGTCGGGGTAGTCCTTGCGGATGGCCTCGGCGGTCTGGAGGAGGTGCTCGATCTGGGGCATGTCCAGGTCCGGGTCGCTGTCGTCGATGAACTCGTTGAGCAGCTCGATGCACTCCCAGATGCCCATCTCCGTCTTGTCTAGCCGCCCGTACTCGGCCCGCATCCGCGACACGAACTCGTACGTCTGGCTGATGTGGTTCACCCGGTAGAACTCCTCCACCGTCTGCTTCCGCTCCGACTCCGCGTCGTAGTTCCTGCAGCACGGGTTCAGGGGACTTCAGGATTCCCGATTCAGCTCCTACTTTTTCTTTTTCTTTTTTTTTTCGTTTTAGTTTTCGTAAAAAATCAAACTAATCCAACCATGCTAACAGAGCCACACAGCCCAGGGCTAGGAAGGAAAAATAAATCCACCGTGTTGGCATAGGCACAGTGGCCACAAAAATATCATGGGTGCATGTGGGGCCACTGCCATGGACACCCAGAAATCTTTGGGAGCATAGGCCAAGCTGTTCCTTATTATTTGGTCCGTTTACGTTCTGAATTAACAGTTTTATTTGCAAAAACATCTGATCTAATTATCTGAACATATATACGGAGTACTAACAATAATTTCAGTAGTACATGACAAATTCCCCTTGCTGGATCCTGTACCACAATGCAGCGGTCCAACAGAGTGGCATGGAAGCGGTCGTCCGCCCATTTCGTTTGTTCGTTTTTGCCTTCTGATGGATGACAATCTTGGCATGGCAGACAAATAATTTTATGCAGCTGTGTTGATGCAAGTGCGATTATTCTCAATTTTCCGTGCCATGTAAGAATGTGGATTTGCGAGTGTTTTTTTATTAAAATTTGAGTTAAATACACTGGCGGCCCTTAAACTTGTAGCTCTGTATCACTTACGTCCACGAACTCTCAAACTCTAAATCCAGCTCCTGAACTTATTAAGTCGTGCGTCGGATAAATTTTATAAAAAACACCTCCTCTTCTTCCCCCTCTACGAGGCCACAGACCCGGTCACGCCGCCAGCCTTCAGGCCGCTGCTCCTTTGGCTGCAGGGTGGGCCCAGCTGCTCTGGCCTCCTGGGCAACTTCTTCAAGCTCAGCCCCTGAACCTTGATGGCGTCTCCCTCTCGCGCAACCCCTCGCGTGGAGCTACGCGGGCAAGTACATCCCCGTGGCGGGGGCGCACATCCTGGACGCGAACACAGCGCTGCTGGAGGCGCAGCGCGTGAACCTGGGACGCTCCAGCACCGGCGCCACGTCCACGTCGTCGGGCTCCACCACTGCTCCGGTGGTTGGCTCCACCACTCCTCCGCGCGCAAGCAGAAGCACCAGCAGCTCAACTTGGAGGTGCTTAGGCCACCATAGATGTGCTGGAGCAACTCGGTCGAGGCGCTCCACGAGTGACGCCGCGAGCGCGTGCGACAAAGGGAGCAACATCCTCGGCTTTTCGCCTCGTGCGATCCGCCGGACAGACAGAGCGGCGGCGGCGGTGTCGGGGGAGGTGCGGCGGCGGCGCTGGTGCTGCTGCGGCGCCGCCACGACCGCCCCACGTGCTGCAGCCTTACCTGCAGCACGTGGAGTCCGTGGCCGACGAGATGGAGCAGCACCGCCACGAGCTACGGCAGTTCACCAACGCTGACGTGGACGCGGCCACGGGCTCGATGCGCTAGGCGTCGGCTTCCTCAAGGACCGCGCCTACTACCACCGCCTCGGTCGCATCTGGCTTGGGAGCTACCTCCTCCATGGCCCGCCGGGCACCGGCAAGTCCACGTTCGCGGCGGCCATGGCGAGGTTCCTGGGCTACGACATCGACCTGTCACGCGCTGACGAGGAACTCCGCGCTGCTCTCGCACACACCACCGGCGCTTCGCTTCGTCCTCGCCGTCGGCGTGTCGTCTGCTGGCGAGCGAGCGCGTCATGGGTGTTCACCATGCGCTTGGGGCAAGGACGCCATCGACGCCGCGGTGCTGCGCCCGGGCTACCTGGACGTCCACATCCAGTTCACACTCTACGACTTCGAGGCGTTCAAGGCGTTTGCCAGCAACTACCTCGGGCTCAAGGACCACAAGCCTGTGCGCGATCACCAGGGTGGTGCACCCGATCACGAAGCGGTCCAGCGCCTCCTGCCTGAGCTTCTCCGAGTCGGAGTCAAGCGCGCTGGTGACCTCGTCCAGCAGCAGGATGATGGAGTTGTGGGCGCTGGAGGGCCTGACGCTGCTGCGGTGGGTGTTGATGAGCGTCGCCTGGTGCGCCTTGCTCCTGCATGCGGATGAGCTTGGCGTAGGTGCCGTTCTCGACGTTGGCCATGAGCTTGTCATGCTCATGCGTGCCCATCTCAGCTGAAGATACGAGATGACAATGATAAGGTGTTTTTTATAAAATTTTATCTAGTCAGTAGTTACGTAAAGGGGCATGGACCTGTGGTGCACGACTTAACAAGTTTAAGGAGTCATATTTCGAGTTTGAGAGTTCGTGGTGGTATGAAACCGTAAATTTAAGAACCGTCAGTTTAACTCTTAAAATTTTATTAAAGACACGAGGGGGAAAAGGCCGTCACGCATCTGTTCCCGTGTCGACCGTCGAAAGGAAAGGAGAAGCAGATCACTACTTTTCTCTCAGCTGCTGGCTTTTGAGTTTTGGCGTCGACGATCCCCAAGAGGCCAAGAACACACCGAACGAAGTTATTAGGCTGTTTTACCTGAAGGTATTGCCGAAGGCGTTGGCGTCCGGCACGACGAAGCCGGCGTCGAGCACCAGCTCCGCGGGGTCGCCGCCGGCGGGGACCTTCCTCTCCGGCACCACATCTGCACCATGACCATTCATCATCAGGAAACGAACGAAACTTCTCGCATCATCCACCGCCATTACACCAGCCAGCCAAACAGGGAGAAGACACAAACAAAGAAAAACGAAACACAGAAGCTCACCGAGCTGAGGTTGTTCAATGGTGATCGTCATCTTCTTCCCCGGTCTGCGCGAAAAAAAAGAAGCTAGCCCTGACCAAAATGGCAGCACGAACTGAAACAGAGTCCAAGAACACGGCAACAGCGATGGCCTGCTTCCGGAGGCAAAATCCGCGGTATTTATAGCAGGAGGCCGCGGGGCGCGGGGCCCCGGTGTCAGCCGGCAAAGGTAGCTTGTGAGGCTCCGGGCAACAGCTGTGGGTGACGCGGCAGGGGAGAAGAAAAGCAGAGCGCGGGATTTATTTAATTTCCCCTCTTAGGCAAGCGAACAGGGGCGGTATCCGCCGGAGCCTGGGGATCCGGATGTGCTAGGACACGGGGGGTGACTCAGCCATGGCGTGGAACTGCTACTGTGGATGACAGCGACACCTCACGCTCTTTGTCGCTCTTTGTGGTAGGTACCGCCCCTTCTTTCTCCCTTGCGCTTGCATGCTTGTTATTGACTAGTAGCCTATTTTTTTTCCTACTCTTTTCTCCGATTTATTTAATTTCCCCTCTTCTCATCTGCCTCCTCTCCCTTTGTGCTTGGAGCTAAATAAATACTCGGGTGTGTTTGGTACAGCTTCTGTCCCAGCTTTATAAAGATGTTTTCAGCTTCTCCTAATAAATGGGTCTGGACGAAACAACTTCTCTCTAGAAGCTGTTTTCAGCTTGTCTCACATTTGAAGCTGAAAATACTAGTTTCTCGCAGCTTTCTTTCTGTCCTCTTTCATGAAAAGCGTTTTATTAAACGTTTATAAAAATAAATTTAGCTCTATTGGTAAAGCTGCTTTTCCAATAAAAATTGATTCACTAGTGAAGTTAAACGGTATCAAAATGGCCTTAGTTGAAGCAGCACGTGCATTGTCTTGGCCTCTTGGACAAGGTTTTGAGGGGGAGAACTCACATTATCTCCATCGCAGTCGCAGACGAAATGTGTCGGTGCTGGTGCTTTCCATATGGCCAAAAAATCCCAAATTGTTCAATTTTCTTATTGAAAAAAAAATCAAGAAGGTATATTATAATACCTATAAGTTCAAATAGATGTTTTTTAAATATTTTTATAGAAAATTAGATGAAACTATTTTGATGTTGTGGATGTTGGTGTATTTTTCTATCTTAATATTATTAATTAGAGACCTCCAACTGAAGTCTTCGTCACAAGAAGCACTAAAAATGATAAATCATAAATTTATAAATATCACTAGCGGAGGCCTCTGGCGGAGCTTCCACATTAATCCTCATGAGATGCGCTAGGTAAAAGATAAATCCAAAAAGTTCTCATACAATCAGAAACATATGGCTTCTAATCTTATAGTGTACTCCCTCCATCCAGGAAAGAATGCAATTCTAACACAATATCACATTTTAGAATCTTAAGTTTGACTAATTATAGATATAAAAAGTATTAATATTTATGATATCAAATAAATACCATTAGATTAATTACGAAATGTATTTTCATAAGAAATTAATTTAGAGCCATAAATACGAATAGTATTCACTAAAAACTTAGTTAAACATGGACTACTTTTACCGGCACGTAACCCATAGTTACGTTCTTTTCTGGACGGATGGAGTATCATCATCATGGCTAACAATAACCATTGGATTTATTTTGGTTTTCTAAATAATTATCCACCACTATTCTTATGAAAAATACATAAAGTCACCCTAAATATGCATATATAACGGAATTTTCATCTAAATCGTGCACCTTACGATTATAAATGATGATTTGAAATGACACCATAATTAGATATTAAATTACCTACATATGCTATTATTATGAAAGATAATACAAAATAAACCCTCCAATTTATCTAAAATTATCCCACACCTATTGTTTTAAAAATAAACAAAATATCTCACAAATTACATCTAAATATCAATATAAGCTATTGTGGGGAAAAATACTTCAATAACCATAACCCGCGTTATATGTGTTTCTAAATTACCTAGGTCGACTACTATCAATTTAAAAATAAACATAAATACTATATGCCGCCATGTCAATAAAGTAAAATAAATATTAAAAAATAAATATACATGCATTATGATAAATATTTAATAATAGCTTTTCAATGTTGGAGAAATGTTCGCGTAACAAACCACATGCCAACGACATTGACAATCTAGTTATAAGTTATATTAGTAGTATATAGTAATAAGTTTGTCAGCGGTTACTTTAGGGGATGAGTTTCAGATTCTTCAAAATCAGTTTTTACCTCTAGTTTCTAAAATCTAGATTTTAAGCAAAAACTGGTAGGGGTGTTTGATCCCCAGTTTTTAATAATCTGACTTTATTTATTGTTCACAGGGTCACAAGAAACTAACAAAAGCTGGGTATCAACAGCTTGTTAGTTTTTAAGAATGTAGCAAAAAATTGACATAAGAAACTAGAAAAAAACTAGTCTGTTTGGATCCCACCTAATTTTTAAAAACCAGATCCTTAAAAACTGGTGAGATCCAAACAGGGGCTTAGATACGTTCTACCAGTCCTCTCTCGAATACATAAATTCCTATTGGTGGTATCTCTCACAGCAAAGAGATATCTGTTCTTTTGCGGAGGTTAGGAGGTTATTTTTCTTACTCTATTTAGACCCTATTTAGGTATGTATTAACTAGCAGCTAATAGTTACTATAACTAACTAATAGTTCGTAGCTAATATTAGCTGCTATTAGCTAGTTTGATCTAACTAATAAAATAGTTGTTAGCTAGGTATTCAGTTAACAATTAGTTAGACTATCCAAGAGCTGATTGCTAGCAGCTAGCTATTAGCTATGTGGATCTGAACTGGGTCTCGGTGGCACGGATTTGACCCTAAACGCCTCTTGTTCTTCTCACCTCAGCCCTTCGAATATTTGACACGGCTACGATGCTACACACGACAATTGGCACAAGGCCTAAGGCCATGGCGGTGATACGTACCTGCTGCGTGCCACGCCGAATCTTATCTGCTTGGCTTGGTTGTCTCCAGCAGGGGACCGACGCTTCACTTCATCACACGCGTATCGGAGGTGAGTGACTCACTCACTTGTCGCCCGTCTGTTGTTAAAGCTGAATCGAGCTCGGACAACACGAGGTGGTGCAGGCCGCCGCAACTAACTCGAGCCCCACGGCGTTGGCCATGCGCCGAACCGCTTTTGGCGCGCGAGATGGCAACGGTTAATACCTCCAGTGTTCCAGATCGGCTGTTGCTTAGCTTGGAGTTTTATTTTATATTAAAAAAGAACAATGGTTTTCAGACTCTTTTTGTACTATACTAATATAGTTCTAGTACTGAATTAAACGATGGCTCGACCAGCCGGATTTCACTGTGTGTGGATGAAAAACACTGTTCACATTCTCACAAATTTCTCTAAATTCATCCAGATTCCTCCCAGCGAACAGGGCCGTAGTGTGTACTCCCTCCATCTTAATATATAAGGTGTAACTGTTTTTTTTCATGTCCCATAATATAAGACATGCTCTCTCTACACGCACATACATTGATGCAGTGTTGAGAGAGAGAATTAAATGTGTTCTTAGTCTTTGAACTAGAGTAAATGTGTCATTACCACACTTTGCAATATATATTTACTATGCTAATTGTCGAACTAAAATGTGTTGCCAACACAATGGATAGATGAAGTTGGTGCATGCAGCCCCTTAGCTTACTGGCTCTCATTGGCTGTTCTTGCCCACTGATAGTGACGGGGATCCCATTTGCATCCGTGAACTTGTCTTTCAGTGTCACTATACTCGAGGAAGGCCCAGTTGCACTCGGAGAAGGGTTCCCCGAGTGCAACACTCGGAGAAGACCTTCCGGCTAATCCTCATCCGGTAAAGACGTCTTTCCCAAGTGCTAAAAATCATGCACTCGGAGAAGGCTTTGCCGAGTGCCGTGCTGGCACTCGGGAAAGATTTGACGCCGTTGGTCGACGGCCGACGCTGTTTTTTTATTTTCTTCCCCGAGTGTTTCCCCGAGTACAACACTCGGGGAAGATTTTTGATTGTTTTTAAATAATCTTTGCCGAGTGCCGCAGCTCAGACACTCAGCAAAGAAATTTATTTTTTTTAAAAAAACCTCTTTGCCGAGTGCCGCAGCTCAGGCACTCGGGGAAGCCACCTCTAAAAATTCTTTTTTTTTGTTTTTTCCTTTTCCATGTAAACAACAACAATATATCACAAACCACATTTATATATCACAAATGACCAAATTTGTCCGAAATCCACAATATATTACAAACCACACGTTCAAAAGTACACACTATTCCAAGTTCACAAGTTCAATACATAAAACGACTCAAGCAGGTAGCTCACGGCGATTGTGAGGGTTGGGACTTGATGGGGATGGCCCGACGCGATGCGATCTTGGCGACCCTCCGACATGGTTCGACGCCGCCCCGATTGATCTTTGCAAAAAGAGAAGAGATTACACGTGAGTGACAAGATAAAAATGTAAGGAGTTTAAAGAAAAGTTGAAAATTTGGCAGACCTCCCCCCGCACGGGAAGTTTCCAAAACATGCAAGAAAAAATGATAAGCACGAAGGCCAACAACCACATTTCCGCCGAAGGCCGACACATCAACAAAGGCACGAAGGGCGACACATCAACACATCCCGCACGAAGGCCATCACTAGGTTTGACACTAAGCATGAGCAAAGAAAGTAAAACATCCGTACTCATACTCACCGGAGTAGACTCTCGACGATGTGGTGGTGGTGGTGGTGGTGCAACCAGGCTTTGGGATCTCCCAACCTTGTTGTTGCCCAAGTTGTTGCACGAACTTGAGCAAACCTTCTTCTTTGGGCCTCCAAAGCTTGTATCCTCTCGATGCTCGGCCTCCCTCGGCCCGCTCGGCCTCCCCCGCTCAGCCATTTGGGCCTCTGCTTTGGGCCGAAGTTGCTACACCTCTACCGCAACATTTGACCCCAATGTTTCAATAATGCAGAGCTAAGGAACGTAAAAGTCAAAGAACGACGAATGAAACTGGAATACTTACTTGGAGTGCCGCCACCGCTGTCGGCCG